AGGTCTCATCAAGACCTACCCACCTACCAAGTATCAAGACAATCCATCAAGGCCTTCTCAAGTTATCGTGTTTACAGACACACACACACACACACACACACACATACACGAACGCCTCTGAAAACATAACCTTCTTGGCGAAGGTAACAAGGTTATAACTTTAACCTTACTGCAAAAATAAGGCTTTGTTAACAGCCCTGGCAGCCCAATTTCACTGCAACAAGTGTTCCACCCTGCCCTGGTCTGTAGGTGATCTGTTATACTCTAATTCTGCCCTGGTGGTCATTAGGATTCCAACAGGCAGACAGCTGCCAGCTGAACGGCTCTCCTTAAGTATTTTTCTAACCACAACTTAATCCATCACGGCTAGTAAACGCTGGACGGCGATACTGCGCGGAGTTAGGGCGCCGTTTGATTCAAGTACGGGGCCGTAAAACGTCCAGACTGATGCGGGATTGACCGGAGTGGTCCACTGATGAGCTCCTCAATCAAGAATCCTTAAAGTAGGACCAATTTGCCACCAGGGTCCTGCCGTAAAACTTCTGCTGCTGTTGCAGGTAAGATTTGAGTCTTGGCGAGAGATTGGTGGTAGGATGGTACAGTAAATGCGTTTACTTTTGCAGTGGTTTTATTTCGTGGTATGAGGGAAAGAGAGGTTTTCAGTGTTTTAAATTCGTAGGTGAAACAGTGTCAATTTGCCACCAGGCTCCCGCTATAAAACTTCTGCTGTTCCAGGTAAGATTTGAGTCTTGGTGAGAGGTTGGTGGTTGGTAAGTAGAACTGTAAATGCGTTTACTTTTGTAGTGGTTTTATTTTGTGGTATGAGGGAAAGAGAGGTTTTCACTGTGTTTTAAATTCAAGGTTCTGTAGTATAGTAGTCATACAAGGAATTACTGTATGACCAAAATTTAATGATTGTAACACCTGCTCTGAATGAAACAACATCTTTTTTCCATCAGCAGTCTCGGCAGATGCTGTAAAAGCAGAAACTTTCACAGCGGTTTAATTTTCATGGTTTTCTCTGTGACCTCTTACTGCAAAATTGTGCAGTAATAGGTCACAGCACTGTGAATATGTGCTTTAATTTGTATTTCTCCCGTACTACCGAAATGTTGGAAATGCAACTTAAAACTCTGCGAATCCCTCCTTTTCCCTCAAAATAAAACCATGAAAGTAAATAAATTTACAGTAACCAGGCCTAGGTGAATGACATCACTGCACTTGCTGTAGGTACATGTATTGGAGAGTATGACAGCCAATGAGATACTCCATGTTTTTCCAATCCACTATCAGTCCCACCAGTGCTGGGAAAGTAATTGCTTCGCTAATCATTTGTAGAGCACTTACCGATAAGGCAAAATTAAAAACCCTCCCTGTGGTTACGTATTTCAGAGATTCGCTAGTTCAAGTTTCCCCAGACTGAAAACGTTAGGCCAAAACAAGTCATTTCCTTGTATCTCATCACATTTTAACCTTCTCCATGCTGCCTAACCAATACAAATTATTGGCAAAAGGGTGACACAGAGGACAAGATGAAAATATGTGGCTGGAAAAAAATGTCCTAATTTTTCATCATACTCACTCCCCAAAACTGAGTATATCAATTGATACTATAGGCTTGGCTCTAAGTCTCCAGATTTGTTTCTACTTTCTATGGAAAAGGGAGGTTTTCGCAGTGTTTTAAATTCAGAGTTGAAACAATTCAGCAGTGCAGTAGTCAATACATGGAAGACATACCCATTGTTGGTGTAATAAATTCACAACTGAGAAAATAAAACAACTGCAAAAGTTTCACAATTTACTAATGAATCTAGGCTGAAAAAGCTGCATTTTTTCCAAGGCCTGATACGTTTATTAAAGGCCGGTAGATTTCCCTTGCCTGGCTGTTTTCTTAATGTAGCCCTTTGTCCGATTTCCCGCGAGAAGTAAGCTGGGGAAATTGACTTTCTCTCGATCAATACACTCTTTTTCAGTTTGTGAAAAAAAGTTGCAACATAATTGCTGAATACTCTTAACAAGCATTGACACAGACATTTTTGTGTGTGCAATATTCTGTGTTTTATACATTATGTTTTGGAAAGTGTGTAAATGATGTAGGGAGTGGGAAGAAGTTAGATTTGAATTGCTACTAACAGTTGATGCAGAAACTCTGATTAAAATGCTGGCAGAATGTTAGTAAATCGATAAGCTGCTGCACTGGAGTTACCTTAGGTTCAAAATCTAATCTACAGAAACTCAGCTTGCATTTTGTCTTGATGTGAATAGACCCTTTTCACATCTACATTTCAGAATTCTTTTGCTGATTTTCAATGATTCTTTCATGATCATCTTTAAATGGTCAAGAAAGCACAATTCTCAGACAAAAAGCAACCAGGAATTTTTGAACTGCCCAATTTCTCTTATTTCTAATGATGCAAGGTATGCAGCTTCTCAATTCGTAGTTAATCTGCAGGGTCTGTAGAAATCTTGATAAAATTTACAGTAAATTCAGGAAGGGATTTATGTAAAATGTGGTCACCTTGCTAGAAGTTACGGGGATAATAAAAATAGTTTTTCATGCTAATTACAAGAAATTCATACACCTTGCCTGTATATATGCCTTTTAGAAAATGGGCTAACACAACTGAGCCAGAATAACAATACCTGACAAGCTCAGCCCACTCCCTTCACATTTACTAAATGGGTACAAGTTTATCAGCCCAGTGACCTCTGCACATGGCTAAACACTTTCACTGGAGGATTAACTGTCCGCCCACCAGTGTCACAACTAATTCTCTCCTCTAAGCATCTCTAACAAGATTCCCGAATGATGAGCGAAAGAGCCATTCTTCATGGGTTAATGGACATCGCGTGTGAAGATCTATGACTTTAATTACCTTAGAATGACCAGGAGCAGCTAAAATAGGTTTAGGTATGGAACAAAGCATTTAAATAACACCCTAGGCAGGGTTAGGTATGGAACGAAGCATTTAAATAACACCCTAGGCAGCTTAATTTATAAGATCAAAGTCACTCGAGGACTTGTCACAGAATTGTCCAAAATGTTGCAGCTAACTGAGAATTGGCAGGCTCAAATATTGGTCCCTGTGTAACACCATGTTGTTAGTAAACAAATGTGTGTGTACATGTACTGCAGTCTGGGCCTGCTAGGACTGCTGCTGCACTGTGGTACATCAACAAATAGGGTTGTGTGGCACAAGGGTAAGGGCATTTGGCTCAGAATCAAGAGGTCTTGGGTTCGAATCCTGCCAAGTCTCCAACCTTGTGCCCTTTGGAAAAGCACTTCACACAACTTTCCTTACTTCACTCAGGTGAAAATGAGTATTGTCAAATTTTCTCATACTGCGAAATTTTGCTAACGCAAATATTTTTACAGTATGATCTTGGTTCCCACTTACATGATATCTGCCCTTGACAATGGCATCAAAGAGCCTGTCCTTGGTGCCGTTGAAGGGCAGGTTTCCGCTCAGCAGGATGTACAGCATCACGCCGACGCTCCACACGTCCACCGGCTTCCCGTACGGGTCTCTCCGCACGATCTCTGGAGCCATGAAGTGCGGCGTTCCTACGCGACCTAGTGAGGAGACAAGAAGAAGATTTAGAGAAGTATGCATGCCTTCCTTCCTATTTCTGCCATGTAAAGCGACTCCTTATTCCACCGGCTTCCCGTACGGGTCTCTCTCACGATCTCAGGAGCCATGAAGTGCGGCGTTCCAACACGACCTAAGAAGAAATCAGATTGGTCACTTGACTGCTCTCATTAGTGGCTGAAGATGGTGGATGCCGCCCGCCTGAAAGCATCTAAGTTTTGACATAAGTTGTGTGTATCAGTTAAAACATTCCTATTACTATTAGAAATCAGAGATTTCAGAGTTTCGGGAAGTAAGCAATTCCTGCCTTCCCCAATGTAGTCTACTAGACCTCTAATTCAGTTCTTTATCAATAATGTCCAAACATATCTTTTGGTGGCAAAGACAGCATACTAACATAGCCTTTGGTAGCCCATTGGATACTGGTCTTTGCTACCATGTGATTGGAGATTATCTTCAATCAGTTGGTGTCTTCATCTTTTTTTTTTTTTTTACTTCAGAATTCACCTCAAAACAAGGCTCGTGAGAGCCACTTACGTGTTTTGGGTTACAGTGATGACTGCGTGGTCAGATATTTGTTCACCCTTGATTTAAACCGTTGGAGGTTGTAATTAGCGGTGAAACATTCTCGGGGAAGCTTGTTCCACAGTGAAGTGGTTCTGGGGAAGAAACTGTCAGCATGAAATTTTCATCTTCCTAGTTTTTCTCTCAAGAAACTACCTTCTTCACTTCACTCTTCTCTGGCCTGAGGATAGAAAAGTTCACCTACCTCCAGATACGAAAGCGTTGTCTGGGACATTTGTGGCGACTCCGAAGCCCCCTATTTTTAACGGTGCAGAGTTCTCTTTGGTAGCTAGGAGGACACAGTGTGGCTGTGGGAAAGAGAAAAAATTCTGGATGAGAAATCAAAATCTTACTAAAGAAACAAAACTTTTCTTTATTGCTTTATATAAGTTACATCTCTAATGAAATCTCAAAACAATCACCTTGTGAGATCTTTTTGGAAGGGCATACATTTTGTATTTGGATTTTTGACCATGACATTGTACAAGCAATGCCACGCAACACTGTCTATCCATCAAAAGAAATGACTTTCATATATTTGCTGAAAAGCAAGTTAAAATCAAGTGCATGTGCAGCTGGCAGTACAAGTCTGGCCTACATTTGTATCAGGAGTAAAACTAAAAGCCTAAGTGCCTGTGTTCTCACACAAGATAACCCCGTAGCCTGGCTGGCATTAGTGCAGGTTGGGATCAGGAGACATGACCACAAGGCTGTGCCCCGAACACTAAGTACGACACAGCACTGGAGTAGTAAACCGCAACTATAATGGAATGTGCCTACGCCTTTAAACTTTAAAGCCACAACAATGCAATTTGTTGGTTTCTCAGAGATTTTTAAAATTGATGCTAGACACATTGATGCTGAACATAAAATCTAATTCTACAAGAAAAAGACAAAATGTACTGTGCCATAACTTGAAAACCTCAGTCAGAGAACCAAGAAGTCTCAGAAAAAAAATGGTGCAGCCTTACTTACAGGTGCTAAAATGTTGTGTATTCAGAAGCAAACACTCTGACGCTGCTATGTCATCTTTCTTCACATATACTGGAACCACACACATTTAGTACTTTCACAACTCGTTGTTATGCAAAACTTTTCTTGTCGACGCAGCAAAAATATACCATTAACAGTTTTCACGGCCTCTTTCTTGATCACCTTTATGACCCTAGCCTCAGCTGAACCTATTACATAGAAATAGCCTACTTACATCAAGTGTTTATTGACTCTTTTTACACGGCACAATTTAGCAATATGCCTCCCAAATGTCTCAAAATTATACCCCAGAAGGCTCACGGGAAGTCACTTCCACCACCCAGAGCGGAGCAGTAACATAACGACAGATTTACACAGAATGATAATGAGTAGTACAAAGATTTTACAGAAGAAGAGCTCAGTGCCAAAAATTATTCAACAGCGGTTCTTGGGCTGAATAACATCCATCCAATTAAGACAAGCCACGAGAGGATCCCCTGCATTTGAGAAGCGGAATTAAGCTAACTTGCCGACGATTCCACAAGAGGAAATGGCAGCAGACTTAAGGGGGGTAATTATCTCCTAAGTATCCTGGGAGCCGAGAACGACGCCACGCATAAGATGAGCGGGGATAATATCCTCGGAGAACATCTTAAAAAGGGGTCAAAAACCCTTCTGACCTCAATCTGGGGAAACTCTTGGGGATTACGACAAGTCCTGGGAATACGGGAGGAGATCAAACGCAGCAATTAAGATGTTTTTTGCTTATTTTTTGGGTTTGGTTGTGTGTTTTATTAGGAAACAGTACAACCATTGTTAACAAGGACCGAACAGTCAGCAATTCTATCTTATTTTTGGTACGTTCTGATGCAGTAAAAATTGGACGGACATACTATAACTATAATACCTTTTAATTTTTTTACGTTACTTTTATGTTCACGATTTTCAAGACCTCTTCTCTACCATGAACTTATCAATACCATTGACAAATCATTATGTCTTCCACGTACCATCTGCCTCCTGCCAATGTGACTATAAAGTTCTGTGAACATGTACATGTACATTTTTGCTCAGATCGTGAAATTTTGCTACCGTGAAGACTGAGTGAATTACAGAAACTCTAAGTGACCAACAAACTGAAAAAGACAATGTGACGATACATGTATTTGGAAGATCCGCCTTTTTTTTGATTAAGAACTCAGAAGAACCTTTTTTCAATACCTTGGGTCAAACACAAGAAAAGTTTGTAATATCACAAGGTATTATCAAGGGACAATCTGTCATGCTGTCGTTGCCAACCAGAAGAGTAATCCATCATCAAGTGCGAAACAATAAAATACATTCATCTCACACAGGAAACCTGCTGGATTTGTTAGGAATGGGTCCAACGCTTTGGATCAATGACAAGTCTTGTTACAACAAACTGGGGGCCTGACAAATCATATACAATGTTGTATCATACATCATGTTATCCATGTTATTACTTAACAGAGCTTTCGTATTTTTTTCACAGACATTCGAGTGTTTGGAGTTTTCATAGATGTATTGGAACTGTTGAATGTAATTCAATCGGTCCTTACATCACTTCCTGAATTCCTTCACATATCTCAAACCTTCCAATCAATCAACTGTAAAAATCATCCCACCCACCATGCAACCAAAGCTATTAGAACAGAGGCATAAACCCCCAACTCAGCCACCAAGATAATACTTACAACCAAATTTTCACAATTTATAAAACTAATACAATGGCTTATTATTACCTGACAATATGCTGATTTACATTATTACCTGACAATATGATGCTGATGATGCTGATTTGAGGTTGGCACGCCACATTACCAAGTAATACAGAATTCATCTTATCTCAATCAAACTGTTGTCTGACAGAATAAATGTTAGATTAAACCTTTTATTACACAGTTGACTTTCTATTATATATTACAATGTTGGCTTCAGACTGACTGATCCTTGGCTATCGATCTGACTTCGGCTGCTTGTAAAACCCAACGCTGTCCTTCAGAAGGGCACCTTCAGAAGAAGGAACTGTCTTCAACGTAGCAGGAATATTTATCACGGTTCTATTGTGTAGAAGCATTTTACTCTCCTGAAGCTTATCTCCAGCCGGAACATTTCTCAACTGCCCTTTTGGATAAAATCTGAACAATTTCCTGAACATTTGAATGAAGCATAGAATAGGCAACGGTTATTCTCCTCTTGGTTGCTCTAAGCAATGAAGAAATTGGAAATTTCAGAATTTCAAGAAGTGTTTTGGGTTTTCGTGACCTTCAAGTTCACAGGCCTCAAGGAAGGATTTCTGGTTTTCATGAATGTATTGGTACAAGTACTTGTACCTGTACGGCGTAATTTAACACACACAGGTATTACACACAGTTACACACTTCCTGAATTCCTCCCTGCACTACCCACTTACTGTAATGCTGGGTCACCTTCAGGCTTAACCTCCCTGTCAATCAAGTAACCAAATATCCACCCACCCACTCTCCCTGCAACCCTCTCTGCTGGACAAGCATGCAAACAAACTCACAGACATGCCGACCAAAAACGATACCTCCATACAGGGAGGTAAAGATACTGTGGCCTGGGGACTTGGTCATCGCACAAGTCCTCAAAGTTCCAAACCCGTCCCCATGTTGCCCTGTTGGTGCCCAAATCTCCCATTTTCATCAGTCCTGCTGACCCCTGATAACCTTTGACCTATGGTGTCACGGCACTGATTGTTCTCCTAGCTCCCATAATCCATCAGTGTACAGGGTTCCCCACAAGTCTCCGTCCATCCATCTAAATTCTAATACCTCCTATGGGGGAGGCTTGTTATTTCTCTAGAATGCGACTGGTTTGTGTGTTACTTGTTCAGGTACTAATGTGGTACTTTTGTGTCATTGTGTAATTATAGAGTTCTCTTACATATAACCGAGTACTTTTTTTAGCCTAATACCTGAATGTAGTTTTTGTTGGCAGATTACTGGAGAACAAGAGATTGCAGGCTGAGGGAACAATTTTGTTTGTTTTGTGACCTTCAAGTTCACACCATTACCTGTCTCTGACCTTTTAACCTCCTATTATTCTGCCTGTCAATCTTTACCTAATCAAATTTTAAAGGCAACTATAATCAATTTTTAACTTCTTAAATATATCCCATGCACAAATAATGCACCACACATACATGTACAATCTGTAGAATCTGTGACAGAAAAAAATGACATCTTTCTGATAAGTTGAAAACAAGAAAGAGAGTGACCCACCTTCATGTCCCTGTGAACTATGTTGTTGTCATGGCAGTACCTGAGGGCCTCCAGGATCTGTCGCATGTAATGGCTGAGGGGAGAGACAAGAGCATCCATTTAGTCTGGCGGAAACATTCATACATGTACTGTAAATTCACTTAAAGGTATCCCATGCAATTTTTCATGGTGGCAAACGAAAAAATATATTCTGGATGAAGAAATCTGTCTGATATTGACATTTACTGCACACATTTTCGTCATCATTTCGTAGTCTTGGAGTGTTTGAAACATGCCCCAAAACAAGCTATGTGAGAAGTCCCTTTATTTTTTGGTGAAATGTGTACTACTGTATGTATGCTGAGATGGTGGTATCTATAAATTCCCAAAACTTACAACTCCAGGTGTGGTCTATACTCAGCTTGAACTATGACAAAATAGTCTGGCATTTGGAACTAACAGGTACAAACTGAAGTCTCGGGAGCCATGTCCCTTTTCATTCAAATTATCTACAATTTCTACTCCATTTAATACTTTCTTACGTTTGTTTTCTTACTTCGGTTATCAATTTTATTCACTGACATTCAGTATACAGTATTGCTTCTTGATACCTTATCATATACCATGAAGTAGTATGCACTTCTTAATCCTAAAATTATTGAGTATAATTCAAAATAACACCCTCGCTTCTCGAAATTTAGTACTACTTTAACTTTTTTAACACCCTCTGTCCTCTCCAACATTAGTATTCTATGCAGGGTTGGTGCAGGCATGAATGACACTTGAAGCTGAGGGTATTTGGAGAGTTTTCCAGAGTACTGATGATTTTTTTCACGTGCAACTGGTGGGTATTCACCCCCTAAAATTAACATGATTGTATAACAGGAAAATAACAACCTACTTTAATTTCTCACACCCTCAGTCCTTTCCAAAATCAGTATTCAGTGTAGGGTTGGTGCTGGTATTTGTGACACTTGATGTTGAGGGTATTTGGAAGGTATTTATTTGGTGAGTACTCAGCTATCATATACCGTGAAGCATACACTTTTAGTATGCACTTTTAACCTCTTAAAATTATCAAGTTTAGTTGGAATATAACACCTTGCTTCTGAAATTTACTTCTATCTTAATTTCTCACACCCTCTGTCCTTCCCAATATCAGTATTCCGAGCAGGGTAGGCGCAGGCATGTGTGAAACCTGAAGCTGAGGCTATTTGGAGGGTTTTCCAGATTACAGATCTGATAATTTTTTGCACTAACAACTGGCATGACTGGTGAGTACTTTATCATACTGTGAAGTAGTATGCACTTTTTAATTTTACCTCATAAACACTCTTGCTCCTCCTGTGCTGCTATAATTTCTCACACCCTCTGTCCCTTCCAATATCAGTATTCAGCGCAGGACTGGAGCAGGCATGTGTGCTAACCATGACATGGAGTTCGCTTGAACCGTGGGACATCCCGACGCTCCCGGAAGCTTTGATAAATCACAGGACGGGGAACGAGGCAGAGACAGATAACCCGTGCGGGGAGCGTGCAACCACTACAGGTCCTTACACCAACCACAAAGTGTTCCAGGGGTTTTTGTGACCTTCAAGTACATACACCTTCAAGTTCACAGACCTCTGGGAAGTGTTTTGGGATTGCTGAATGAGAATGTATTGGGACTGTGGAGAGGATATTATGAAGAAATTTATTGGGTATTACACAACACCACTGTCACTGTCACTATTATAATATCCAGTTTATCGTCTGTTGTTCCCCGACTACTGTGGGTTAGATGTACTTGCACAGCAACACTGCAGCTTGATAGCAGCCTGCCACTTGTCTCTATCCCATGGGTTGACAACTTCCTGAATTCCTCCACATACCACCCACTTACTCCCACCTAGCACATGTTGAGTAACCTTCAGGCGTGACCTCTCTATCAACTGTCAAAATCACCAGTCCTCCCACTATGCAACCAAATTCGGAGATGTAGAACATTCACAAACCCATAACTCTGAAAATACAACTTGTAATGTTGTATGCTAACAATGACATCGCATTTACTTGAACCACGGGACAACCTCGCGCTCCCATGGCCAGAACCTTTGACAAATTATCCGAGAGGGAAGGAGGCAGAGACAGATCATCTCTGTGGTGTTGTGCAGGTGCAGGCGTCACATAACCCACAGAGGTTTTGGCGACGTCTCAGGGAGGAGCTTAATGGTACAGTATTGTGTGAAATTCTAGGAACTGTACAGGCATTTTGTCCACAGGCATGCGGAATGTCCACAGGCATTTCTCTGACCCACATCTATGCCCACATTCCTGGAACCCTGAAGACCTGTCTGCCCCAGATGGCCCTACTTTCTGTGACCCAGGGGCTCGTTCACTATGCACTCAGGGGAGGAGTGCACTGTATCTGTCTAGACTTAACCAAAGTCCAAGTACCAAGACTTTAGTCTTCCTCAAAATCATAAAATGATGGCAGTGCCATGCAAACAATAACCCTAACAGCAACCACCGTCGCCATGGGAATTTATGATTGTTTTCATTGCCAGTCTTGTTGCATTTTCATGACCTTTAAGTTCACGGACTCCTTCACCTTAACCTTCAGACGTGACCTCCCTAACAACTGTCAAAATCACCTCCCACCCACTAACTGAATTCTAGGCCATTAGGACATGTTCAGTTCAGTTCAGTTCATCCTTCAGGTGAAGAACAACACAAACCCACAACTCTAGAAATACAACTTGTATATGCTAACCATGACCATGGGACAATGAACCCGAAGCTCCTAGAACCTCTGACAAATTACACTTTAGGGAAGTAGGCAGGCGTGGGTTCTCACACGACCCCATCCTCAGGCACATATTCTCCCCGCATCCCGTGTCACAGATCGATAAATACCTGAATTCCTCCACATACCACCCCTCTTACCTACACCCGGCACATCAACTGTCAAATCACCTCCCATCCACAATGCAACTGAATTCTACTGCCTGCTATTATGGCATATAGACAAAAACACAAAATAATGGAAATACAACTTGTATGCTAGCCATGACATTGCATTTACTTGAACCATGGGACAACGAACCCAAAGCTACCAGAGACTCTGACAAATTACACTTTAGGGAAGCAGGCAGAGACAGATCATCGCTGTGGCGGTGTGCAGGCATGGGTCCTCACATAACCCCGTCCTCAGGCACATATTCTCCCAGCATCCCATGTCACAGATCGATGAATCCCTGAATTCCTCCACATACCACCCCTCTTACCTACACCCGGCACATCAACTGTCAAATCACCTCCCATTCACAATGCAACTGAATTCTACTGCCTGCTATTATGGCATATAGACAAAAACATGAAATAACGGAAATACAACTTGTATGCTAGCCATGACATTGCATTTACTTGAACCATGGGACAACGAACCCGAAGCTCCTAGAAGCTCTGACAAATTACACTTTAGGGAAGCAGGCAGAGACAGATCATCTCTGTGGTAGTGTGCAGGCACGGGTCCTCACATAACCCCGTCCTCAGGCACATATTCTCCCCCCATCCCGCCTCACAGATCGATGAATTCCTGAACTCCTCCACATACCACCCCTCTTACCTACACCTGGTACATGCAGGCATGACCTCTCATCCAAAAAGCAACTGAATTCTACTACCTGCTATTAATATTATGGCATGTAAACAAAAACACAAAATTATGAAAATACAACTTGTATGCTAGCCATGACATTGCATTCATTTGAACCATGGGACAACGAACCCGAAGCTCCTAGAACCTCTGACAAATTACACTTTAGGGAAGCAGGCAGAGACAGATCATCTCTGTGGTAGTGTGCAGGCATGGGTCCTCACATAACCCTGTCCTCAGGCACATATTCTCCCTGCATCCCGTGTCATAGATCGATGAATTCCTGAACTCCTCCACATACCACCCCACTTACCTACACCCGGCACATGCAGGCATGACCTCTCATCCAAAAAGCAACTGAATTCTACTGCCTGCTATTAATATTATGGCATGTAAACAAAAACACAAAATTATGAAAATACAACTTGTATGCTAGCCATGACATTGCATTTATTTGAACCATGGGACAATGAACCCGAAGCTCCTAGAAGCTCTGACAAATTACACTTTAGGGAAGCAGGCAGAGACAGATAATCTCTGTGGTAGTGTGCAGGCATGGGTCCTCACATAACCCCGTCCTCAGGCACATATTCTCCCCGCATCCCGTGTCACAGATCGATGGGCCGCCCCGATCGTGTATCATTAACATGACAGCCGGGAAGCAATAAGGCCTTCACTGAAGGCACAATTAGCTGGGGTCGTAGGAAAAGCTTAGACTGTGTTCCACTCACATCACGGGTAATAATGGATTCCTTACTACTGTTACATAGCAACGGGAGACATTATTTATTACAGACGTCTACTGCAGAGTTTCCTTACTTCTCTACTTAGATAATTTGTATTGCCAAAACATCAAGAAGTTCTGTATGGTTCTGTAAGTTCTGTAGGGATGACAAAGCGGTCCTCGTCAACCTGACGGACGAACGACAGGTTTATGCAATGGGTAAATCTAGTCTGAATTTGGCTAAACCCTGTTCAGAATTCAAAAAGGCCCTTCTTGTTAGAAAAAAAAAATTCATGAGTAATATTTGTTAGACTACGTTAGAGTGGTACTCAGCTCTGTTCCAACTGAGTTGCCACAAAATTATCTCAACAGTAACTGATCATTTCTTAAATAGTACATATTGAGCAAAATGAGCTTTCATGAGTCTTACTTTATTGAGTACTTGTCATGCATGCAAGTTATTATCAACAAAACTTCAAGATAATCTCCAAGCAGATCATACGGTAGCAAGCCAGTATTCAATGGCAAGAGGAGTGTCCACAGGATTATTAATGGACACTCCTCTGGCCATTATGGATACTACCTTGCCACCGTAGGATCTGCATGGAGATTACTTCACCACACCCACCTTGAGACGGCTTCACTGTAGACAAAACCAGCGCTCGCCCTCTTCACGATCTCGAAGCACAGGTCGGCACCGTCCATGCTGAAAAAACAAAATTTTCACTGTCATTCTGCCTGTCAATCTTCTCCACCCACGTTCTGTTAACCTACTCTGTCTGGACAAGTATCATTAGACACATTAGAGAAACCTACCCAAAACAGTAGTAGAAAGTAAAGAGCCATGTGAACTATACACAAATGGAACTTGTAACAGTCACAATTTCAAGTCTGCTCATACACAAAATGCCTGCAATCTGAATTTTACATTATACATTTACTCTTGAATCTTACAATTCAGATCTATATACACAGCGTAAGCACAAACAGATGTAACTATTGTAAGCTGACATGAACACAAAAACACTACGAGTTGGTCTGCATTTGACTGTTAATGTAGTGTTATACATGCGAAAAGTGTAGTGAAAAGAAGCTGTTGGTCTGAGCTTGAGTAAGAGTTGACTACTCACAACTCGAACACCATGTAGAGCATGCCATCTGAGCTGTACGTCTCCAGTAACTCCACGATGTGGGGGTGTTTCAGCATGTGGCAGATACTGGCTTCCCTCTTCAAGTCTGTAAAACACAAGAACGACTTTCATCAGCATAAAATCGTATAACTGTTAAGTCACTCGCTTGCTTGTTCATTCATTCATTGAACTGCAAATCAGAGATTGTAGACATTTTGAGAAGTGTTTTTGGTTTTTGTGAATGTACTGGAAATGCAGAGGGGATTGTACTCACTTGACCTCTCTGTACATCAACTGTCAAAATCACCTCCCGCCCACCATGCAACTGAAGCTATGAGGTGGTATGTTGCACCAAAGGGTGGTCTTACAGGTCAGATATCAGACAGATAGAGAGACAAACCTACATTTACAACTAAGCCACCAATAATAAATTAAACTTCCTGATCCATGCCCAGTATATGTGTAGCAAAATGCTTTGCATGTGCTTTCTGGGATCAAGCTGCAGTAGCCAATTCTTAATTAAGTGTTCCTCAGCTTAACAGACAAGTCTTCTATCGGGTGCTGCAAAGAAATCTCTCTTCTTAGTCTAATGGCCCCTCCTTGAGGAGCGAGGCTTAGGTCAGGCTATAGGTGTCTGGGTTAAGTACTGGGAAAGACTGTAAATTCATTAACGGTTAGCAGCACTTCTATTTTGTGCTACAGTGATAAGTTTGTGGTATTATCTTTGAGTTTGCAATACAGTGTAGTTTCATCATAATTGCAATGAACAAATTCATTCATTTGCGGGGACACAATGACCATAAAAACTGTGAACTTAAAAACACTGCAACAATTTCAATACCTACAGTAACTCTTTCATTTTATTATAGGTCATCCTCAGTAGGGTAGTGATTCTCAACAGTCAAAAACTGCAATTTGTTCTAATGCTCCTTGGGAACACTTTGTACCCCATAATATACTGTACAACATTGTAACGACCAACAGTTGGATCCAAGCAAGGATTTATCACAAAAACATATGACAGCAAGTTAACTGGCATCTGGGGCTGATAAAAATAAGAATTTAATATTTCTGAAAATAGTTTCATCAGGTTGGTTAAGTATAGGATACAGGAGTTTAGGTGAGAAAATTTGTTTTGCAAAAGAAAGCTCCTGTATCCAAGAATTTAGTACATTCTCTGCCATACCAAATTATGCTGGGTGGCCTTAGAATATCAATCAATCAACTGTCAAAATCACCTCCCACCCACCATGCAACCAAAGCTATGCAGAGACAAGTAGAGCCACAAACCCACAACTCAGCCACCCAAAACAATACTCCCGTACTCAGAGATTTTGCTTCTGAGTCCGAGGCAATAAGATCCCCCACATCCATATGTACATACAGATAGCCCGGGAGCTCTTCAGACCACCTTGAATGTCTATAATTGATGCCGTTCTATCTCCATGTGAGTCATGGTGGACAGAAATCAATGGAGCTTCCCCGCAGAAAATCCTGCTGCACCATCCACTAGTGACAGATGTCGGAAAACTACATTACTGTCACTGGCATCATTCTGACTCAGGATAATAGTACCATCAAATTCTCATGGATACAAAATTGCATCATAAGAGATCGCCTTGGTACATATTCTATCAAATTTTGAAAGATGCACGGACACTGGCACTGGCCAGTTAAAAAGCCAGAATGAAACATAAATAAGAGGGCACATGGATAGTAATATTCCATTACAGTCAATACAAGATAAAGAGATGGTTTAGAATGGCTACCTAGAAACATACAGTGACTTCAAAACCATAAATGCATGATGAAACCAGTTATATCATAATCTGAAAAGTTATTATTCGTGAATTAATATTTTGAAATACAAAATAATAATCATAAAATTATGATTCCACAGCAGTACAATGAAAGACTGGATACTACTCTCTTGTCACTATGCTAGGAAACATTTTCTAATCTAATCTTACTTTGTGCCTGACAGTAAGAATTTCTTACCGTAATTCACTGAGACTACCATTCAAATTTTATACTAGTTTACTCACCAAAACCTCATTTCCTAAGCCTTACGGTAGTCCCACTTTAGGACGGACCCCTAACATTTTCACCAGTATAAGACCCTGCATATCTCACAGTACGTGATCGATAATCACGATCTGCACTGCAAGAATTATTTAAAGTAACTCATTGCGATAACCATTCATATTCTATTCTACTAGTAGTTGAAACCTCATTTCCTAGGCCTTATAATAGTCCCACTTTAAGTTTAGGACGGACCCTAACATTTTCTGGTATAAAGACCCTGCACATCTGACAGTACGTGATCGATAATCACGATCTGCACTGCAAGAATTATTTAAAGTAACTCATTGCGATAACCATTCATATTTTATTCTACTACTCGTAGTTGAAACCTCATTTCCTAGGCCTTATAATAGTCCCACTTTAGACGAACCCTAACATTTTCACCAGTATAAGACCCTGCACATCTGACAGTACGTGATCACCAATCACGATCCACGCTGCTCCCATGACCCACACACCTCCTACATAATCCATCCGAGCTAATAACGACAACTGAAACATCGCGTACTGCCCTGCTCCCTCGGTCCTCGTGTATATGTCCCGGACCTACGCACGATGATGGATAAGTCAGCCGTGTGGCGCAATCAGTGCTGGGTGAGAGGTGTCAGTTGTAACGGTGGGGCTGGGATATTATAGAGCAAGCTTACAGGCTATTGTCTATCCATTCTATCTAATGTACTGTACAACTAAAGCAGGCATGGCAAAATTAAGACTTATCATTATTTTCTACAGTCTTATAAATCTCTGACTTACTGATGCTTTGCTTACACCTGTTTGAAAAATACTCTACGTTTCTACGTTATATTATAATAATCTGTATTGTACAAAACAATAGCTTTTATAATGATTTGACATGTGAAAGATTTATTTTTGATCAGAAAAAGGCACCATCTAGCACCTTTGCTAAACATTGCAGCTTTTGCTCTCGGAGAATACAATATACTTAGAAAAGGTCACCAAAGTTTATATACCATTAGATTCTATCAACACGTATAAAACCATTATCAAGAACAAATGCTACCAAACATTATGAACTCACTAAAGTGATGTAGTTACCTACAATGTAAAACAGAATCTACATTCAAGGTTTCTATGATTCTATATCCACCCCCTCCACCCCAGCATATAATCACATATGCATGATCGCATCTTTGTTACATAAGGAACACAGAAAATCAATTTTTAGTACAGACAGAAGCATTTGTGGGCCATACTTCTACACAAATCTTATAAGGCCATGTTGATTTGATTATATGGATGACATCCACGCGTGCATGAATTTTTGGCCGTTTCCAAAAAAAGGCTTCAACCATACTGTTATTCCGATATTCGTACAAAAAAGCTGCAACATGAGCAAACATATACCATAGGCCACACCAATTTAATCTGTTGGTTCTCGGATTCGCCTCTTCATTTTTTTCTGATTTGCAAAAAAAAAAAAAAAGATTCTGGTTCTGAATCAACTAAAAAATGCTCATATTTTGCCCCCAACAGTTGTGGAAAGTCCTTTTCTTCCTAGCTGTTGCAGTGTTTCCATCTATCAATGCAGTGGTTTGATTAAAAGTTCAAAATTCATTGTTTAAATATTAACACAACCTTTTGTGTTGACTTCATGGCTCCTATCATAGCATTTGGGGCTATAATAGGATGCCTAAACCTGTTTTTATTTTTATTTTTTTCGCCCTGTCGCTTCATGTTTTTTCTGACAAAATCCGAGAACCAACAAATTAAATTGGTGTGGCCATAAGTTGCAAAAAAAATATTGGAAAATGATACCAATGTCGTAGAAAGCCAAAATCAAACAAAAAAGACGAAAATGTAAAGAAAAGAATTTGAAGAGTACATTATTCCCCATACTGATTCTCTGTGTCATTTGTTCAACCTTCATAAAATCAAATCTCTTTTTCAGAAGCTATTTGCAACCTGAGTCTATATCTCCCTACATGTATATAAAAGACCTGTAAGTCTTGTTATAAACGTCCTTGGTAAAGCTTATTTATACTCCTAGATGTCAGAATTCATTTCGATTTCACTTTATCGAGTGGAAATAATACCAAACTGCGTCTAAAGCTGAAAAACGTATACCCTGACCTTCAGTAAGGTGCAACGTTCAGTATCGATCGTGAGAAAGGTCTTCAAGATTGGGGATCGCCGTTCATTTCTTCTTCTAGACAATTTCCAAGAAACCAGACTCAGGGCTTAGCCTTGGTCGTGGGTTTCCAATGAAGGAAACTTTAATTAAGATTGAGGTATATAGAAGTAGAGTGGATTCATTCCTCACACTAATGAACATATCTATAGCACACAGCAGTTGTTCCTCGGTAAGACATCTGGAGCCGTGTTGTTCCTGCTTAGAACTTTTATTCAGGCTGTCACAATTAAGACTCAGGATAATGATTTTGCTGTAATGCTCAATTTTTCTGATGTCTGTTCTAGACCAATCTCAAATAGATTATACTATTTTTATAGCTTATTTAGCACACAGCAGTTGTTCCTCGGTAAGACATCATTCTGGAGCCGTGTTGTTCCTGCTTAGAACTTTTATTCAGGCTGTCACAAATAAGATTCAGGATAATGATTTTGCTGCAAGACTTGGTTTTTATGTTTCTTCTAGACCAATCTCCAATTATAGGAAGCTTAATTTGGGGTAGAATTCTCACAAACATTGATTTTTAGGTAATACTGGTAGGTCAGATACATTTACAATTGAGTTAGCACTTGTTTTACCTAGAATATAATCAGGAATATTATACATGGCAGACACAGGCTGCTTGAAATACTGGGTGCCTAAAACTGCAGCTGGGTATCTAATTTTCGACTGTGAATTCACCAGTGCACCAATATATTTGTATACAAAAAAAAAAAAAAAAAAAAATATATTTGTATACTATGTATTTAAATGCACTGTAATTCTGGTATTTGTACACTACTATACATGTACATCACGTTCTTGACATCTATGTCAGAATTTAATACTCAAAATCTTTTTTTATATAAATTATAACTTGTTTAGAATTTTGA